AAGGGCTGTAGGGTGGGGCCCAAAGGAGTCAGTGTGCTAAAATTTCTTCATTTTCCTTGTTTAGAATCAGAGGTGCTAGTTTCAAATACTTTTCAGTCTTAAATCTGTTTGCTAGATATTGAATAAGGTGGTTTTATTGTTTTTTTGTCACTTTGAATAATATTTCTGTTCATGTTAAAAACAAAATCAACTCTCTGTATAAATATATCAGGTGACCGTTAAGGCCCATGGGCCTCTTGTTTTTAAATAATTGTATATGGTTTATATTGAAGAGTGGTATTGACTTTTACAGTGCTTCTCTTAGAATTGCCTTACAATTTTTACGGTAGGGACACACAATTAGGTTAGGTAGCGTTACCGGAAACAGCGAATGTTTTTTTGTCTGGCCTTACGACTTGTCGGTATAGATATTTGAATTACAGGCTATTCACGCGTTGTTTATTAATTACAGGTTACCCAACAAACAAACAAGTAAACAACACACAATGAATGATATGCGATTAGCTGCCGGTATTACAATAATGTACAACATAAATCCGTAATCGTTAGTCTGTACTGCCGAATACAGGCTGCTTACCCATTCGGAATACATCGCCTATGAAGAGTATTCCGAATGGCTGCTTACCCTTGCTTGGCTTTTTTTTCTAAAATGAAGGGAAAATGAAGAAAATCTTCCCAATTTCAATAAAAAATACTTCTATATTTTTCCAATTCATGTAGAAACAGGCTGTCGAAAGCTTAACGAAGAAATATCCCTGTGACATATGAAGCATTTAAAGAAGATTGAATACATAATTGCATATTCTTGGTTTCTCGGTGAATAAAGTTTATATTTCAAGCGTTGAGGTGATAATTTAAAAATAGATATAAATTCAACACGCGAACCATTCACATGTGTTTTTTATATTTCACAAAGAACCCGCAAATATTTTGTTTATTACGATTCTCTATAGAAATACATGGGCTTCAATATTTATTGGGTAGTCATAACACGATTCCCTTACCTTTTTTTGTGAGCTAACTGTTAAAATACATGTACATGCTATTTAAATGTTCATTTTAATTTAATCACAATTCCCTATATTTCACTTGCAAAAGGGTAAAAAACGGGAGTTTCTTATATATATATATTTTCCGATATTTTAATATCGGATGCAAAATCATATAAATTCAATCTTCAAACCTGAATAATAAATATACATGTATAGTAAATTGTATATCTATGTACTGTAAAGTGCTTTAGAGTGACTTATTCTAGCTAGATAGGGCGCGGTATCAAATGTTGTATATTTAGTTATATTTTAAATTTAATTTCAATATCATTTTGGTTGCCGTTTTTACTAAACTCTTATTTCTACCAATGCTGATACACATTGTATATCGTCGATTTCTAATTTTTAATTTGTACTAAGCTATGCATTCTATTTCAAATATCTTATACATGTATTTAAATCGATTTTCTTAAATAGGGTTTTTAATTAATTACGTTAATTAACACACCGATAATCACCCTTTTTCGTCCTAATTAAGAATTGTCCAATAATATTATCTTGATAAATGCAAAAGTTAAGTAATTTATTATGCACTTACCAATTGTACCGGCCCCTCCGAAACAACTCGTCTTTAATTCCAAAAACCAATTGATGTTAAGTGTGTAATAAGAGGTCATCATTACATAATATCATTTTGATCACCATATTACAAAATTACATACATGTACGTGTATCTTATACAAATACATACATATAATTAAAGTATGATAATTATTTTACACTGTTACCGTATACATGCTTTCTAACTTACTTAAACCTACAACATAGTATTTGCTACACAACACGGAAACATAAAATGGCATTCTATCTATCACGCTATTTTGCAAAGACTTGTTCAGGAAGCCCGGTTCATTTTATTATGACGTCACAATCACATCACGAAGATCTGTTTATTTTGTCATAATTGTTAACAGGAAATGCTGTCTTGCGATTTGTCAATTAATTTTGAAAGAAAAATAACATATTATTTTTTAACATTAATACAATTAACTTTACACGTTTTTCAAACAATACAACCGCATATTACAGTAGTGAGTATGCATGTATTCAAACATTGTATTTTACCTTTTTTTTCTCTTTCTTACAGGTGCAATCTAAACAAAGGAGTGGTCTAACAACAATTTTCCGGAAATATACTATATGATGTATGGAACGACTGGAGGGCATATATACAATACCCTAATGTATTTAAGAATTCTTCTGCTTGGCAACCGTAAATTTACAGTACAATGACTTACGAATGAAACGTAATTAATAATTTTAAGTCTCCATTCGGATATTGTTTTGCGGAATATACTTACGTTACTTGAGAATAAATTCAACGGAAGTGATTAGATTATTGACTCTGCCAGTAGCTGGACGCTCAATCATCTAAATTCATGTTAAATCTCGATTTTGGATTAAGTATCACCGGTGAAAGCTTATCATTAATAGAAAGAGCCAAACTAATTCATCAACGACGGGAAACATCAAAGGAGTTCCAAGAGAGGATAATTTGTATTTGCGGATATTGATACAAAGAGCCAAATTAATCCATCAACGAAGGAAAACATCAGAAGAGTTCCGAGAGAGGAACATTATATTTGTGCATACAGTAACGGTTTACTATGAGGCCATGGTTTATCATTCGGAAGTTACGGCCGGTGTTTTACTTAATGGCTGGAGTGTGGTTGATTTCTTCGATTCAGCAGGCGGCCGATATAAAATCCAATGGTTTCCTCGGAAGCAGTTTCTTAGGGCATCAAGTGATGCGCGCTTTGAAGGCAGTGCCACCGCAAGTGATGTCATACCGACGGGAATTTATGAGAAATTATCCATTGCAGGTTGATCTCCTTCCCTACGTGATGGATAAAATAAAGAATGGCACTGAAATTCCGTTTAAAAAACATTATCCTCATAACTACACGTATTTGCATCGACCAGACAAATGTAAGTTTTATAGTCATAAAGGCGGGAAACTAGCGATCCTTGTTAAATCGGCTGCACAAAACTGGTACCGACGTCACACGGTACGGACCACGTGGGCTAAGATACATCCGGGTGTTATAAAAGTAGTGTTTTTAGTTGCGTACAATAAATCGATTCAGAGTATGGTCGATTACGAGGCCGATTTCTACAAAGATATCGTACAAGAAAATTTCCAGGATGCATATTTTAACAACACGCTAAAAACTGTCATGGCGTTTAACTGGGCAATGGAGTCGTGTTCAGGTGCTGATTATTATCTGTTTGTCGACGACGATCATTTTGTAAATGTTCCCGGATTAGTGCAATTTATAAAAAGTCTATCACGTGATACACAAGAACAATTATTTTTAGGATTTTTAATAGCATGTGGCGAACCGGAGAGGGCGGAACATTCAAAATGGCGGATTTCATTTGAACTTTACCCTTTTGACCTCTGGCCTCCATATTTAGCTGGTGGTGCTTTCGTTACTTCATACTCAGTTGCTCAGAAGTTACAATTAGCTTTTCCCTATGTAAAACCGATAGGCATTGACGATGCTTACCTAGGAATCGTAGCGAAAAAACTCGCACTGCGGCCAATGGACAGTGTCCACTTTCACACGACCGGACCTTATGCAACTTATGAATATTTCATACATGGGAAATTAAAAGCAAACAAAACTGGGCCAATACCACACGATGTTCTTTCTTTTCCAAAGACAGAATGTGTATAATGAAATAATTTAATATAATGGTGTGTATGCACGTTTTAAGGATGTATGTCACATTACACAAATTACGTAAGAGTTACCTCCCTTGTATACATTTGATAAGCAAAATCTAGGAAGTAATCCGTGTTTGTCAATTTTGTTATAATGTGCCTTTTCAGATATATCATTTATCATTTAGCCGAGTGAACAATACTATCCAGAAATAATATTTAAGCTTCTTAAGTGTGAAACTTTTTCTGAAAGGAGATCCAAATCTTAGTCCAGAAAGATATACTATTAATTATAAGCGTGTGTTAATGTTGTGTTTACATATCGTTTTATTGATTTTTGTTTTAATTAATATAATATATATATATCAATGGTTGAAAAATGATCATTTAAAAATTAAATTCGTACCATTAGCTTAACAATGGGAAAACATTTTTTTTAACTTTGCAAATTTAATACATGTAGATAATAGGTCATTTACCTTGTCTAAGTATTTTAGACACAACATCTTCATCTTAAGTTTTTGATTGAAATTGAATACTATTTATTTATTTTTATGTTATACGGACCTTTAAAACAGCCCTTTTCACGAAGGAAATTCACACTTGCTCCCAAATGTTCATTTGTTTTTCTTTCGAAATTTGCGTTTTAACGATTCGGAAGCCTTATCAGGGCACATATTCATGAAAAATGTACGTACGAATTATTTATTTATTGCATAATGAAATATCATTTATTCGGTTTCTGTAAACAGTTTTATTATTTTATATCAAATATTATTTACCGAGTATTATGCAATGTATTCATTGAATACTATATTGTGATAATAATATGTGATCTGTTTTCACTCAATTTTCGGTATCATTGCAAATGTGCCAAATACAAGTTTCCGGCTCTTTCCGACGATGATCGGAAACATCCAAGATCATTAATTCATAAACAAGCTTTAGAATGATAAGGTTCACTGAACATACCAATGACGTCATAATCGACTGAGATGTGCCTTAGGAGAACCTTCCCGAAAATATGGAAGAATATGGAATATTTTAGTTGATGTTTTGTCCATAACTTAGGTTTAAAAGTAACAAATTTTCTGCCATTTTTCAAGATTAATGAAATATACATATAATACCCTTTTCGTCCATGCCTGTGATATCTAAGGAAAGAGATATATATGATTTGTAATAAAATAATGAAAATGTTAATTTTGAATGTCACCATGTTGCTTATCATAATGGATATTGTAAAAGATTCTTTTCATTCCTGATGCTTTCATTGAAAAACATCAGGACAACTACATGTTTTTGCCTATCTATCTGTGTTGATCCATTATAGTTTATGCTGTAACACGGTCGACATTTTTCAGGTTACAATGATTATTTCCGGCAAACGACAAAAATCAATCGGAACCATTCGTGAATTTCCGTCAGTTTTAGAATTTGACGTCACGACATGACTTGTCCACAATTAAAGTGTGACGGAAATACCCGAATAGTTCCGATTGGAAAATGTTTTGCTTACATAATATGTTCAATATGGTAGATTTATTAAAAAGGCTATATAATGGATATATACGTATTAGTATTCAAATTTAATCGCGAAATAAAAAAAAAGTAAAAAGTAGAAAAAAAAGATTATTCAAAACAATTAAAATCTTAATATATCGATTTTATAATCACTGTGCAATAAAACAATAACTTATCTCAACAATTACAATATATATAAACATATATCCGGTTTGTGATAATATATTTATACAGATTTATTTTCCTTCCAAAATACATGTAGTTTAACCATGAAGAGGGAAATCCCTGTCAACGGAAATCCGTAATGGCACTAATTAATCGACATTTTAATAACAATATTTTTCATGAAAATTCATTTGCGTTTTGATCATTTTGTAGTAATTGTTTCTGTTCTTTCTATACATAATTAATATCCTGATAACTTTTGAGTACGACATTTTTTGTGTGTGATACACTTAACGTATTGAAATATCGCGATATGTATCGTATCGCCAGCACTGACCCGTATCGCGATACACCTTGACGACGCTATTTATGAATATAATCGACTTTTTTGTGTTATTCATGTAAAACGTCAGGATTAAATTGAAAAAAATGAAAAGTTTTGTAATTATTTGTCAATAACTATTACACCTCCGATTCGATTCAAACATATTGTATTGACACTGAATAGTCAAAGGGATTGGGCCCAAGTTCTTACACTTTAATAGTCCCTCTTCCAAACATACCTCTGATATGTCGACTCCTTGGTTAATTCGATGACATATTTAACGTAATTAATTCAATTATCAAAGATAGGAATTGATACCAACAGACTTTATTTTTTTCTAAAATAAAATATTCACGATATGTGTGGTATACGATTTGATTGACAGGTGTATGAAGGAAACTTCGATATCTCGAATGTGATTATATTCATTATCTCGCTCACACATTTTATTATTTATATATATAATCGATATTTATGAATATCAAACTGCCGTCCCAAGTTAGATATAACAAGATCGTGATTGACTTTTTATATATATAAATTATATATGTATACGTTTTTCTTGCAAGAAATATTTAGCTAAGTATAAATGATTGTGAACTATTTGTGTGGCTACCACAGTATCGTTAAAATGTGTTACTTCGTTGTGTGAAAAAACACGAAGCGTAAATGTGTTGGGCGATGTTTGAAAACTTTTTGAAAATAATTCATGAGAGATATAGAGGAATAAGTGGATTCTGAGCGAGAGAGAGAGAGAGACAAGGAGAGTGAAGGAGGGGATGTGATAGCTTGAGAGTGGGGAGATGGAGAGATACAAGAGAAAGAAAGACAGACAAAAGACAGACAGAAAGACAGACAGAAGGGAAGAGGAAGAGAGACACACAGAGAGAAACAACACATAGAATAGGAAAGAGAGAAAGACGGAGAGAATGGAAAAGAGAGAGCGGGAGAGAGAGAGACGAAGAGAGAGAGAGAGGGGGAGAGAGAGAGGGGGAGACAGAGAGAGAGGGGGGAGACGAAGAGAGAGAGAGAGGGGGAGACAGAGAGAGAGAGAGGGGAGACGAAGAGAGAGAGAGGGGGGAGAGACGGAGAGAGAGGGGGCGGAGAGAGAGAGAGGGGGGAGACAGAGAGAGAGAGAGGGGGAGACGAAGAGAGAGAGGGGGGGAGGCGGAGACAGAGAGAGAGCGACAGGAAAATAATATTGAAAGACATGAATATATATGCATGTATATGTGTGGGAATGTGTAATAGGAAAGGTATAATGAGTAGTGTGTGAAAGAGTGCAAATGCCGATTCACGGAGAGGTTAAGCGAGAGACTAAATTTGTTACTGTAAGAATATGCAAATTCTTATATTCATGTATACAAGGTCACATGATATGCTAGCATTGAAGCGTACATAAGATTATAAACATTGAAATGAAACGGATTCAATAAAGATAACATATATATTTAACAATTATTTATCTGTTTTCTTGTTCTTATTAAAATTTGAAACTGCAGAATTAGACCCAAGTAGAGGACAGTCAGACGGTAGCAATCCTCGACACTCCAGGGGGTACACTCACATTTCGCTCTCTGCACCCCTAAATTGAAGAATCGGTGTACACCACCTTGTGGACGAGACAAGAAGTCTAGTTCGATCCTTTGATGTTCATCAAAAGAATCTGGCGGTCAAGTAACGGTAAAATTGACTGGTTTTGAAGACGAGTTTTGCTCCTCTGTAATCTTCAAAGTACAGGTATCAGCCTGGCGATTGGTGAGTTTTTTTTACCTAAGACTAATCAAACGGCTATCTTCGTGCCTTCAAATTTGCTATAACATATTCCAGGGGTGCTGAGAGCGAAAGTGAGCGTAACCCCTGGGTATCGAGGATGCCCCTGGATATCGAGGATGCCCCTGGAGTATCAAGGATGGCGCGTAGCTGGGCTGTAAATAGTGTGCATGCGAAGTTTATCATCTAGCTACACCCCCTCCCCATCAACTCTTTGAACTATTTAGAAGCTCTGTGGTGCTATCTGGTGGCCCTAATTGAGACCAATACACAACGCTAATGTTTTTTTCCGTTTTGTTTGAAAAAAGAAAAGAAAAAAACCCAAGCTAAAATGTTATTGATACGGCAGGAAGTATAATGTAAATGAAATATAAAACTAATAATAATAGTATCGGGACAATCTACGCACTGCCTTTTGTTGATGAGTCGTTATGAATATAGTATATTGGTTATTATAATGAACAGAAACAGACAAAGTCTGTTCAATGCCACAATTTGACACTCATTTTATCACTTCTGTGAACTGTATACAATTGATACAAATTAAATAGTAAATTTGAGGATTTTCGATGTGTTTGTAACTGCTTACATGTTGCTTACACGGCAACTAAGCGCCTCTATTTTATAAATTTTCGTAATATGTCTTTGTGAAAAATAAAAAAATAAATATAAAAATAGCAACTGAAACCGAATTAAAACACGAATCAAATATCACTCTCCAATATTCTCTTCGACAACTGACGAAATTTAGATCGACAAAGTAACCATCCCGAATTCAACTCCGCTAGTTATCGTACAAAGGGAAGTAACTCCGATGACCTTATTTACTTTCCTCAAAATTACAACACAGCGATATTATTACCTGTAGCTATCTAATATTTTCCCTATAGGACTGACGACCTGCATGTATAGCCATACAGTTTCGCGATACAGGTCGTCACAATATATAAAGGTGCCAAAAATGTTTGGATTTGTTTTCCCGGCATGATTGTAGTTTTGATAAATAATAAATGATAATAAAACCATCCTTGCAGAACTTTGATGACACATATTTAAGATGATGTAAACAAAATATAATGAGCAACAGTGTTTTGAGTGTAAACAAATCAGCGACGCTAGAACGGGATTCGAACCATGGACTTCAAATGTGACCGATTGAGCTACCTGGTTAACAAAAGCACCGGAATTTAAGGGGAGGTTACTCTATACAGGACCAAAGTGCAGTGGGACAGGGATCGTATCCTGTCCAAATTCTCTAGTGCAGGAATTAAGGGGAAAGAAGAAAGAAATTACAGTGATATCTGCTTCTTGCAAAAGTAATTAAACAACAAATTCATGTGTTATTTCTTTATTAATTTTAAAAGAAAATGCAATGCATATTATCATACTCAATAAAAAATCATTTTCCGATCCCGTTCTCATCATTATAGTTTTTTGACAGCCTCGCGCTGACCATACCCTGGCTGTTTTGCATCAATGCATGTACATATACATAAATACTATTGTATATGAACAAAATTGTTCGAAGGGCTACTCAGATTAATTTATTTAAAATTTGAAAACTATCAAAAGGAGAAAAATAGTGTTGCTCGCCAACGCGCTCCATAAACTATGATCGTTGTCAACTGCGTTCATACTGCCGTATACGCCGTCAAAATGAAGATCAACCTTATATAGACATCACTGCTTGTGTTGACAGATTGACATACATTCCTTGCGGTTTATTATCAATGCATGTTGTGTGTTATGGAACCGTTACACAATCTTCTAAAACCTTCAGATCTTAATTACATTGTATGACAAAAAAAATACAATTCCAGCTAATCGACATCGTCGGATACCCACGGTTGATTTCGCTTCGGTACTCACTCATCGTCGGATACCCACGGTTGATTTCGCTTCGGTACTCACTCATCACCCACGGTTGATTTCGCTTCGGTACTCACTCATCACAAGTGAGTACCGAAGCGAAATCAACCGTTGGTATCCGACGATGAGTGAGTACCGAAGCGAAATCAACCGTGGGTATCCGACGATGGCTAATCGAATACAACCGAGGTGGAGGATTAAGCCCACGATAGGCCATAAGGTTAAGGACGAAATCATGACTTAGTGTGTCCCTACGAGTTGTTTTTACTACCCGTAGTGCTAACATATTGTAACCTGACGGGTTTGATTAGATTGATAGCAATTAAAACAAACCGTCTGATATATTACTTTTAATAGTACAGTGAAAATTGGACAAATATGAGGTCTAGACTTCCTGTTGTTTACTGATAGAATGGCACGATTTAACATCTAATTTAACACAAAAAATACTTTTATTTCGGTGAATATGTAGTTGCATATGAATCTGAAAAGTTCTATTAACCTCGGTTTCGTCTCGGTTAATATCACTTTCCCATGATTATATGAATAGATATCAGTCTGGCACGAAGATTACTTTTGTTGTTAAATTAGGTGTTATATCGTGCCATTCTATCAGTAAACAACAGGAAACGTAAGACAATCGTCAAGCAAAATAGTTCTGCTGCATTTGGCAGAGAACTTTGTGAGGTTACAACGGAAGCGATGTCATACAAAGAATAGTAAACTGATATTTCAAACTAGAAAATTATGTCAGTGTGACATTAAAGCCGCTCACCACTTTACATGTAATTATAATTGCTTCAGTACATGTAACACGTTGAGCATCAATATCTTCTATAATACCTCAGATATGTGTTCTGTATTCTGCTGGTGTTATAGTGTGAATTAAAAATGATACCGATATCAATTAACAAAATTTATCAAGTTTTGTAAAAAAAAAA